GTTTTAGTAAATACACATGCATCCGTAAGGTGCGTCTTTACCTCGTCTTGCTCCAACGTTTTAACGGTGCCAATTTGATTATTTTTATTAGCATTTTAGTAGCATTCCAAATTTTCCAGTACTTAGTAAAGAAAGAGACCCCACGGGCCGTTTTGGCCCTGTGGGCAGATGGAATTTGGAAATGTAGGGGCTGAACCGGTATCAAGGGCTGTTCGGGGAAACCCCCCCCCCTCCCCCCCCTCCCCTTCTTTGGGTGGTGGGTGGTTCAGCTTGACAGAGTTACACTGGTCAGTCAGCAGTAGTACAGGACAGATTACCGCCCCTTCAGTAGTACAGGACGGGAGTAATGTAGGACGGGTTCCTCTGGTGAAACGACAGCCGCTTTCCTTCGTTGAATTTCGTAAAAGTGACTGGAAAACGGAAGAACGATGGGCGGAGGTTCACCCTCATCGCCCTTACAATCTCCGCGATCACAAAATACATTAAACTTCGGAAAATTCACAAATACGTTTTTAAAATGCATAAAAAGCTTTCACAAGAAAACGGCGACGATAATCGCCGTCAGAAATTTTTTTGAGGATTTCCTTATCACGACATACTTTTATTCCCTTACTTCTTACATAAACACACACATCATCTAAAATTAAAATTACAGTACTTGAATACTTGAGCAGCTGTAGTATTTCATCGGCGTTCATTGTTGTCACGCCATCGATGCAGCACTGGCAAATCCTCCTTTCGATTCGTTGTTGCGCTCTCTGAGTCCACACAATACCGTACAAGCGTCCCAAGTGGCCTCTCCACCTCACACTGCTGGCCTCCTCAGTCTTCACTTAGTTATGCGCGGATACCATTCTATTATCCACTTCGTCCATCTGTTATCTGCTACATCTGTGCCACATGACCAGCCCATCTCCTCTTTCTGGCGCACATTGCTTCAGTGATATCTTTCACGTTAAATATGGTTCCCTCGATTTCGCCGATAGCGGCTATTGACATTTTGCTTCAGATATGCTTAACAAAAAGATAATAACTGGCCAACCTACGGGCTGCCCGCACGAGAATGCGTTTTTTGCATAGTTCCCCGCAGTTTTTGTCGCTACTGACACCGGTTTTTTCGGCAAATGCTTCTAGCTAAATAAATTAGAACTGTTAGGAAACACCCCTTAAAATTTCAGTTTTCTAGCTTTCCTGGCTCCTGAGTTAGCAACTTACCCGATTAAAAATTTTGGCATGCCCGTACGCAGGTACCACGATTACCCTGTGGATGGGTTTGAGCTCATTAACACCTACTTGGACGTGGAACATTCCCGTAAGATTTCAGCTTTCTAGCTTCTCATATTCCCGAATTATGAACTTACCCAGAAAAAATTTGGCGGGCCCGCACGTGGGCACCACGCAGGTAATAGCGTCCATTTTGAGGATTTTGGCCCATGCGTGCATGTAGATTAATTTCCCAAAGTTTCAGCCCTGCAGCTGTTATAAGTCTTGAGATGAAAAATTTTTGGGACAGACGCACACACAGACAACCCCTCGTCAGTATACGTTTTTGCGTTGCATAGCTGCAAAAAACGCATAAAAATTACTGTGGATATGGGGCATACAAAAGTAGGTGCTGACCGTTACTTTATCGAAATTGCTGTTTTTCTAGTATTTTAGTAGTTGCTTTTGTGTAACTTTTCTGCATATTTTGCAGTTTGGCAAAATTACGGAGTTGGCAGCGTTTAGCGAGAAGTTGCAGTCTACCACTGGTTATGCGTGCTTAATCAGGTTCGATAACAAGGAGGCGGCACAGCGTGCCTTTGCAAGTGCCGAAGAAAATGGTGCTTATAAAGTGGAGGTTTGTCTTCTGTCATCATCAAAACCAAAAAAACCTATTAGAACATTTTTTTTGGCTTTATTTTTATTTTTTTCAAGGAATTTTGTGGCCGTAGTGAATTCTTTCAGGTTGAAATAAGTTTTTTTTTTTTTGGGGGGGGGGGGGG